AAAAAAAAAAGCCAAGACATGCAAATAGAAAAATGTATGTTTAGTTGACAAAAAGCTCAGTAATTCAATCAATTATTTATTTCTTACTGATGCATGCATTGACTCCTCGCTTAAGGACGTCTACTCCAATGAATCGAAAGAGCTCAGGAGTCGAGCTTCTGCTTCGATCGAAATCACCTAAGGTAAATATTGTGAGTAGTTAGCATACATGAGACTTGATAAATGGGCCAGATTCACGGTAAAGGGTATACGCAGAGGCCACATGGAATTTTCTTCGAATCTACCTTAGTTGGTACAAGACGAGGATGTCAGAAAGGCGAGAAATTTCGGGAACAGCAGCCATTTTGTGACCAGCTTGCAGCTGCTTGACATCCAAGAATATTTTCGTTGCGAAGGAGTTATTCATCATCAGCTTAAAAGTCGTGGTTACTGAACCGATGGATGGTATCATTTTGGTATCCAACCAAATGCATGATGTAATCACTGCATTTGATACCTATGTGCTAATCACTATTTTGGGGTCGCCATCAGAACCAGTCAGAGTTATTGGCCAGGCATCTTCGTACTTGGTACCGACAAAAGGTGGTAGCAAAGTTGACTTGACGTGATACTTGGCCCTCCCGTATGGTCCACGATGCGCGTCAACATGTTTCGTTCGATCATACATTTCTACAGTCTTGACTAGAACCACCTGGCCATTTTTTGGTGTTTGGAGAACGCAATCGGCAAATACTTTGGAAGAGAGGAGCTTCGTCAGTCTTGTTTGATAATAAGCAAACTTGAGGGGTGAGCTCCACATATTGATGTCACTGTAAGAGATTACCATGTGGAGAAGAGACTAACAATACGTCTAGGCCATGGTTTGTAACGGAATCACAACGGCTATATATGGTATCGTATGCACACTTCAGAGATTGTTGTATCAGGTTTTTTGTAAAAGACAAATAAGTCGAGGTCTGGCAAGAAGATTTCTTATTGAAAAGAAGGGCTGAATATTATTGATATAAGACCCGAATGAAACTTGTCAATGAAAATTTAATGTTGTCAATGCTAATTCTGGTGCTCGATAAAATAATAAAGAGTATAGTAAAATATATATGTTCTACTATATGATTATGTACTAATGTTTTAATGGGTTACCTCGTCAAGCGCACCAGAGGTAACCATCCTTAATGGCAAGCTTCCCATCTACATCTTGATGCGCTATTATATTCTCTTCGTTCCCTTCTTTATCGGTTATGGGAAATGGAACTAAAGAAAGAGCATCCACTGTCTTTACCGTTTTTTCAGATCCTTCATCACCACGGCTGGATTGTTGACATGCATAAAGGATGGCTTGATCACAAGTACGTTATTTCAGTGGCTCAATAGGATCAATATTCAAACAGCAGGGCGAAGCGATAAGGCCAGCAGTAGCTACATGATAATGATCTGGCAGCTCGTGTTCGAAATCATCCAGTTCATTCTTTCTACAGGGCACATACAAAAATGCAGTTAGTGTGCCTCATACCATACAGATGAAGGAAAAATGTTTCTAGGCTTACTCAACTGTCGCTACAGGGGATGGCTCCAGAGATCAAGAGGCAGATTATTCGGTGTCATTGTTAACAGTGCTAAAAAAAAAAGATCAACGTCAGTACCAAAAATCTGCTCCAGTTAAAAACATAAATAATAACTAATCTTTGAATATGCTCCCTTATTATATGGTCATGGAAATATGCGAGATATTCAAAAATATCCGTACAGGATGGACAGTTGTACCATATAGAGGTATCAAGTGTATCAGGCTGAACAGAGTGTGAATGCTTCGGTCGTGCTTGAAAGTCATACCCGTAGAACTGGAAGAGATGCTTTCATAATGATTTATGCTGATTAAACTTGGGGGCATAACTATCCTTATGAGAAAATAAAGGTTGTATTCAGTTTTAGGCTTGAAAATGACCAGTTAAGTCAACGACAAACAAAGTAGATACGTTATTGAAAGAAGAGCTGTATACTATTAAAGTAGGACTCGAATAGGATTTTTTAAGGAAGAGAATTTATGATTATTATTAATTTTTAAATGTTGTCACCTGATGCACGATGATAAATGTCCCTTGTTTTTTTTCTCCCTGTGATGATGCTTTGGTTCTGTTCTGTTCATCCTTTAGAGGGTTGAACGCACTCTTTGTTCGCACTGTAACCTATTGCAGTCATGTTAATGATTCAAGTGACTGTAAATTCTGGGTTGGCAACATTGGATGCCATCCGGTGCACGATAAAAACATTGGAGTATGCTTTACTATAAGATTAAATTCTAGTATTATGATAACTTATATCCTCAAACGCATCAGGATACGCTCCTAAGGTCATAAAGCATGTAAAAGCATTACATAAATGAAATAAAACTATGGGCTGGTGTTAAAGGGCTCCTTTGTTTTTGTAATATACTGCATGATAACGAGTAATGCTTATATACTCATATGCTTATTTAGAATCAATGAGGATAGAAAATAAAGTAGGTGTTTATGAAAGATAATAAAGACGATTGGATATATTCGGAGGACTATAATAATAAATGGCGTATCTCAAAGGCGTGTTTGCGTATGAAGCTAATTTTGTATTACAATAATAATGACTTTTGTTTACTTTTTTTAAAATGCAAAGGTTTTCTTCCCCTTTTTCTCTCTCTTTTTTCTCTTTACTTTTAATTTTTTCTTTGCCTTTTACCTTTTCTCTTTCTGAACTTACAGAAGTGCATTGTAGAGTGATGGTCATATTTCATAAGCATGACCGGATCTTCATTACCCTGTGCTTTTGTTTGATTCAATTTCAGTTCCTTAAGGAACTTTCGCCCCTTCCCTAAAAACTCAACTCCTCTTTACTCTGTTTTCTTTTTATTACTTGATATCAAATAGAAATCTTTTATGGGTCGGTAGGATTTTGAGCTTTTTTCGTTCTCCTTTGAGGGAGCACTTTCTATCTGGTTCCAGAAATTTCATCCCCTCTATTATGGTCTCGTTACCGTTTCAAGGGATATTTCCCCTTTTTTTTCACACTCTCACAATCAACAGCAACAACAACACCAAAACAGCAAAGCCAGCAAAAAACAACAACATGAGCACAACAACAAAACCAGTATTCTCTCTCTTTTTCTTTCTCTTTTTTGAACCCTTCTAAATCCTTTTCGACTAACCTGGGCCCTTTCGGTAACCATGAGGCACTAACAGTACAGACTGACTCTTTTGATTGGTTCACCATACCGTTTCTTAGAAATGACTTCTCTGGAGGCGTTTCTAAGTAAGATCTGTTTTTCGGTGGCTCTAGCAGAAAAAGGACCAACCTAGATCTTTCGTTGGCTATCAAAAGGGTAGGCCGTATTCTGAGGCGTCTCGTCCCCTGGCTTGTGATGAATTATGATCTTAACCTACTAGTGATAACTGCTTGGCCGCCAATTTCTGTTCTATGAATATGGTTTGCTATTTTAATAGGGCAGCCCCCTTTTTTTCTTCTTATAATGAATTTAAACGAAAAAAAAAACTGCTCTTAATAGCTCACTCAGGCGTTGCTATTTTATCATCACTTCTTTGGAACAATGGTCGCTCTTTATCTGCTAGTGGTCAATGATTGCCTCAAGTAAGAAAAGGAAAATATCCCAAAGTCAATGGTGTTTTGCTATGGCAAAGGTTACATTCAGAACGACCAATGTTGCTGCTCCTCTTGGCCGTCTTTACAATAAAAATCCCAATCTTGTAATGCCCTTAGTATACTGTATTCTGCTTAATCTAATAAATATCCCAAAGTACTGTATTTCTTCAACCTTTTATAAGTGATATTATTTAATCAGCTCTTCAAGAATCTCTCGCTATGTAACTGCAGATTGTATATGGTATAATTTCGAAAATGACTGCAAAACATAAAGTTTATACTGTGATGTTCATATACTTTACTAAAACAACAAAGAGTCATTCACTGACTATTACTATCTATTAAATTAAAAGGGGAACTATTAAGTGCTGGTATGGCCAGAGTACACAACTGGAATTACCAGTGTTTCGCCCAAAGTTTTCCAAATAGAAAAGAGCAAAGTAAACACCCATTTTCTACAGTTGGTTACTTATGATTGACATGAATTGTCATCCTAATATCTTTTACATGGCAAGTTATGCATGTCTATCTTCAGAAAATCAAAGAAAATAGTGATTTAACATTTCGTTACGTCGCCATTGGCGTCTAAAACCGCCTAGGGTATGAGGAAGCAGGTAACCTTATTTTCTTAAAAAGGATCTTTGCTAATTTACTCTTATCTGCTGACCAAACTGATGGGGTAAAATAAAAGAATGATAAACAAGGCATGCGTTTGGTAACTAAGCCTTATGCGTGTGTGTGTGACAATAGTTTTTCATAATGTCAACGATATGAGAGATGACCCACTAGATGAGCAATCTAGTGACATCTTTGTGCCTTATTGTACCATTAATCGTGACAAGCATATTTATAGAGTTCTGGTTTAAAGCTATAACAGATTCTATTGTTGCTTTATGCAGCTAATTCGCTTCAATAAAACGCCCTGTGTAAATCTTTTTTTTAATACATTCCCGTAGATTCGATAGAGCCTCAGAACTGTTCCGAATTTGGAAAATAACCGTTCTTGCCCCCTCTTTTTTAACACTGTTTATGATAGGGAATACTCTTACTTTGCTACCCTCTAACTTCGTTATTGTGAACAGGTTACTGTTATAATATAATAAGCAGTGAACAGGATGAACAAGTAAATAAGTGAGGGAGCTATGGTAATAATATTCACATGTTACTTGCTCAAGGATGATCAATTGAATCTCAGTTACACATAATCAAACAATAATACGGCTTTAAGGAGGTTTTTGTCATAGCAACATGCACTGTACTTTGGTGCATCTCACGTTATAACTATAGTTGTAGTATTTTATTGTCTTATTGCTTCATTTTAATGCTATGGAACATTTCAGTTGTTGCCATCGAATATCAATGTAGAAGAAAAGGCCTTTGCTACGGCGTGTAACACATACGTTATCGTCGTTACATTTAGTTGAAGATCAATACAGCTTTACCACATACGACCATAGCAGGATACCAACTATTTAAAATTTCATAAACATCGCATTATTTTAAATAAAATAAAGGGGACTTTTTCTTTCACACAGAGATTGGTTATTGATTGCAAAAACACTAGAAGGCTCGAACCTCTTCTATTTTCCCATTCACAAAAGAATTAGTCTTATCACCTTCTTTCGCACATTTTAAGGTCCAAACTCAACAATAATGAGCGATTGGTGAGATAGCCACAGGTTTGGGGTTTTTGTTGACTATTTAAAGGCAACAATAATCTATAAGAGCGTGCGACAATATGCTGTATCAAATGATGTATGTATCATATGCAAGTGCAATATTAGTGCCGTAAAAAGAGAATGGGGATGAGATAAAAGCCTTATTATGTATAGCAAGAATGAGATTCATTGTACACAAAAGAAGCTCAGGGCTAGATGAGATATTAAAAAAAGTAATTCTCACTTTTCTCTCTCTCTCTAAAGATGTGGTATATGACAGCTTCGCTTAACACCTGAATCAAGTAAGCTCATTCTTTACTTCTATCTCATACTTCCTTTACAGCAGATCACTGCGCAGCTACGAACCTGAAAAGGGGGAGCTAGCAAAAAACCAAAACCAAAGATAAAGAAGTTAAGACATACGGATTCCCTCTCGTCTGATACCACTGTTTCTTTATCTTTCAAAAAAAAAAAAAGAAAAGCTGATGGCTCGGAAGTACCAAGCGGGTCACGCAAAAGGGATCGTCCCAATACCTCTGGCCCTGCTAGCAGCTCTGAGCCGCAGCCTTTACTTGCATCTTCAAACCAGAGGTACTCCTTCAAGAATTCCTTCGTCGTTTTCCTTCTCGTTCTCCATTGCTTCGTGAAGTGGTGCTTCCTTAGCATACAAGGCAGGTTCCTGGCTCATACGGACGCCTTGTGTGTCACCTACCCTGCTCTGAAGCTCTCATTGAACAAAGGAAGCTGGAAAGAAGAACCAGATGAAATTTAAAGTACTGTTTTTCAAACTTGTAGTCTGCACATTTACACAAATAAAACTTTAAAGATGTTGGTCATCATTTGTTTAATACACTCATAAGCCCACCATGAACTTGTATAGAGTAGTTTTTACAATTTTTTTTTTTGTCTTTTAAATTTTGTTGCGCTTGAAATAAAAAAAAAGAGATGTGTCTTTATTTTTATTAATCCTATAAAAATGACTTGATATTTTACCAATAGAAATTGAGCATAATGGCCAGTATTTTCAATAAAAGATTAAGAAAACTCCCCAATGCTTTCAAATGATGGGTTCGAGCCTCTTTCTGTTGATGAAGGCTAAGCAAAAACAAAATAAACAAAAGCAAATGACAATTTTGGCAAAACCAAAATGAAAAATGTACTTAAAAGCTTTTAGGTATGCTTTTTTTTCTCAGATTTAATATAAAATAAAGCTTTGAAATTCAAGAGAGATCAATGTAGATATATAATCAATGTTTTCTGGGCTATTATTCGATAATATCTTCCGTGCGAAATATGCTGATACCCCAACTTCTATCTACATGACTAGACTAAAATTGAAAATCGCAATAAATACTTGTAATAACAGTCAGTCGTTATAGGTAGCATCTGAATTGTTGTTTTTTATCTTGAAATAGTGTATTATATTCCAGTTTATGGCCTTTTACGAACCCATACGTGATGCGTATTGTAATGAGTGATTCAGTTTGCGCTTTCAGAGCTGATGGTAAATCTTGTTCTTGGGAAGCGTCTTTTTTATTAAACAAGTTCCATTGTATTTTATTGAAACAATGCACAGTTATTTAACTATTCCTTTTATCTACTACTTTCTTGAAAAATTTTCAGTCAGAATAAACTTCATCTAAATAAGAAAATATCTGAAAGAATATAAAGAAACATTTCTTTGATTTATTAAATCCATAGATTAGTTAAAACCAATGGCATTAGTCACGAGCATGACTCTTGAAAGGAGGCACAGGCTTGGTGGTGTGCTTTTTGAGATGGACAGGCTTCTTCTTGTGGCCAGTAGATTCCTCTACTTCACGTTTGTCCTTTGCATGAGCTGGCTTCTTAGCAGTGGTATGCTTTTTGCGATGAACAGGCTTTTTGGTAGTGGTATGCTTCTTGGTAGGGGCTTTCTTGACAGATCTCTTTTCCATAGGGCCTTCATACTATATGAAAGGTAACAGCATCAAAATTTTATGTATAAGTGTAAAAAGTCTATTACACTTACATTCAAGCAGATTGAATCACCAGGCTTTACCTTGTCACAGTCAAAACTGGCATTGATCTTCTTGGTCCACTCAGAAAGATGGTCCTTGGTAATACCATGCTTACTAGCGATTGATTGACAAGTATCTCCGTTAACAGCTACAAGTACAATGATCAAATTTCATGTAGATGGGATAAAATGCAAAGACCAGAGTGTTTACCTTTGTAGGTCGTGCGGCAACGAGGCTGATTGAGTGCCTGAGCGAGGCCAAGGGTAGAGAGAGCAGCAGCAGCAAGAACAAATAACTTCATGGTAACAAAGGACTTTACTAAGAAAAGTTGATGAATAAAATCGACATGGCCTCTGATCCATCCTTTTTATATGCGAAACTGAGTTCGTTTGTTCTTGATCTAATTTGCTAATTAAAAACTCTCAAAAAAGTCAGAATCCTCGTGTTACACTTGCTGCATGAAGGCACGATTATTTTTATCATGTGTGACACAATCATTCCCGGATGCTGGTAACTCTTGGCGTATAGGCTTTGCTTTAATTAAAAGCGGCTGTCAAAGGAAATGTGCCAATATCAAAATCCAGATTAATATTAATGTCATAAAGGAGTAAAGGGAAGATGACGTTTAAAGAAAGCCGATAATTTGCTTTTCTTTTTTTGAATGAGCAAAAAAATAATGATGATTAGCAGGAAGGAGTAGAAAGTTTTATGTTGCTTATTCCTACTCATTTGCCCTGTATCTGACCCATTTTTAGCTGAACTTGTGCCTTACTTCTGTTTCATTCGCTCTAAGCATGATTGTATAAGACATGATCAGCCTGGGGCTAGGAAGTCAACGCTTTTTGATGTAAAGCTATTATCAATAGCTATACTCTTTTATCCTTGCATGACTAAATTAAACGAAGCTCTTCCTCTCTTGGCACAATTACTATGATTGATTAATTCAGAGTAAGCAGATTCCCATGACAGATTTGATTGATTGTGCAGTTGTGTATCCTAGTTTACGCTTCTCTAGGATAGTCTCTCAACATCTTGCAGTTTTCTGATATTGAAGAAGGCATATAGAAGGTATTTTATAAAAATAAAATGTTAATGATTATGCTCAAAACATCATTTCTGTCTTGACAGCGCTGCCTTCCTTATGTTAGCTATTTTACACTTTTTCGAAATATTATCGTTTATTATATTTCCTTTTCCTGTTTAATTCCTGACATCTTTTTTTTTTTTTTTCTTGCTTCATTCATTTTTTCCTTATTATTAGTTAGCCTTGGCTTCTCTATTTTGGTCGCTTTTATGTGCTTATTTAAAAATTGAGTGTCGTGCCTGTACCTTTGAATTAATCGAAGCTATTAGCTATGTCCTTCATGAGTCCCATCAATAAATACAAGGCTTGGTGCTTCAAGTTACTTTGTTTATTTAAGACAGAGGACGCTTGCAAATATATTTCTAAAGTGTATATGGAGCTTTTTAAAAGCGCGGTTTTTTTAATACATATTAAAATTTATGTATTGATTTTAAGGGAGAAATGCTAAACGTGCCTTGTCCGTCATCATTATGTGCTTAAATTTTACGCATGAAGCCACTATTGCATTACTACTATTTTGTAAGAAATATCTCAAAACAACAATAGATATTCACATTACGTAGACAAGCTTTTACACTCAATAATTTCCAATTGCAAGTTCAAAAAAAAAAAGAAATTCGTGGAACACTTATAATATATCTAAATATGTTAGAGGAAATCAATATAAATTAAGCATGTTATTGTCAAAGTAGAAGAAATGATCAAACTAGTCAGAGTCAATTTTCAGATTGTGTTTTGTAAGAATGAAAGTTGATAACGTATTTTCTATCAGTATATATGATATAAAGATGTATTACACCATATCTTGTTCGTATTATTTTGCAATATAATATCACATGTATTTTCATAGCAAACGGTAAGCCGCTGTATGTAGTTAAAGACATCTTTCCAATAAAAGTAAACACCAGAACTACAGTAGACTTGTCAATTTATTGCATGATGAACTTGTCAATAACTGATAATAGTATAAAGAGTGACTTTTTGCTTTTGTTTCAATGCTCATATATACAGCCTTGTTGAAAATGTCGCATCAGTTATACTATTTTTTTTTTTCTTTCAAATGACTCTTCTTTGGCTTATTTAGCGTCACTCATTTCATGGTCAACAGGTAGGTCTGTGCTTTTGATTATCTACATTAGCCTTATTTGGTAAAAATCCGATTTCCATATTTGAATATTTCACACATCCGAGCATTTGTTTTTATACAAGGGGAATTTATTTCTTTTTAATATGTATACTATTTAAATACCATAACGTTCGTGTAAGGGTGCTTTCAATTCTGGTGGCATGGAGGCTAGAAATTGTTGCCATTGTGCTTCACCAAACATACTCTTGTATCCCATCAAAATCTACACAATAACGTGTTAGTTCATCGTTCTTTTTCCTTTTATAACCAAACTTACATTGCCAAAGGACTCGTGTAAAGCTGGAGAAGCGGTTTGGTAATTAGCAATTGCATGACATAATAAGGGGAATTCCTAATAAGAGTTTAGTATACTACATATATTTACTTGTTACTGTTTTTTACCTGAACTGCGCCTTGAGGATTAATCTTGATCATTTCACATAAACCACTGAATGCTGTCAACTTTTCATCATTAGGTCGGATAGGCGTAAGAGCATTCAACCAGGGCTTAGCGAAGACTTGAAGGTGAGGTGCAACCAAGTCGGGACACACGAGACCAAGACGACCGACCGTGATTGCGACGTTTTCCAAAAGCGTACGCTGGAGTTGAGGATTCATGATTAAAAGTAATAGACGTTGTAACAAGGGCTCGACATAATCCCTGATTTCAGTGCCTAGGAAAGAACAAATTTATTTATTGTCTATTTCTTTTCTTTTTTCTTTTTTTACTTACCCCATTTGAGTGCAATTTCACCGGCTGCCCAAGTAGCATTGTTACAAACGGACAAGTGTTCTGCTTGAGGATCAATCTGCTGAAGAATGTGTGGCATGAATTGAGGCACGACAGCTCGGATATGCTCAAAGCATGAGATAGCAAGATCACCGAGCAAAGCATAAGCGGATTGACGAACTTCAGCTACTTCATCCTAAGCAGACGTTTAGCCACGCACAAAATTGCTCCTTTGTTTGCTATTATTACCTGAACACAGATGGACAAGAACTGAACAACAGGTGGATTGGTGCTTGCAACTAAAGGCTCTGCATCCGTATTTAAGGCTTGTACTATACCAGAGAGTAAATCTAATGCGACAATCATAAAGTCCTTATCGGGCTCATCTAAAGAAGGATCCATGGAAAATGCTTGACATTCTTCCAACGTCTTCAAAACAAGTAGAACACAGCGTCTATAAACTGGTTCAGCAAATGGTTTGAATCCTTTACCCAAAGCAGTTGTAATGGATGAAAGACACTTGTGTATGCGTTAGTTACAAGACAGCCTATACTGTAATTAATATACCTCTAGCAAGGGGAATAGGTCTGTATTGTCATCATGGATTGCTTGCCATTTTCTAATAAGAGGAGGCATGATCAAATCGATAAACTGTTGATTGTTCAAAGCTTCTCCAACGACATCAGCCAAGGTGCCTACAGTATCATAAAGGAGCAACAAGTTTCTGTGTTGATATTTGTCAAAGGCAGCAGAAAGAGTGGTCAATATAGGCAAGAGATATGGGATCAAATCGACAGTGGCCTCCTCTTCCAGCAATGAGAGAGAAGAACAGGCCGCTTCTTGTACACGCTTGTTGTTATCCAATACACGTTGCAATAAAAGTTGAACAAGAGGCTCAAGGTAACGTTGACGAGCTTCTGGGCTTTGTTGGCTGGTGCGAACGATCCAGGATGAGTATCTACCAAGAGTCCAACAAGTGATGGATCTAACAAGAGGCTGAAGCAAATTAAAGTCAGTTTTATCATGGCAAGAGTGTATTTGGTCATACCTTAGGATCATTCAAGTTATTCAAGAGATAAGGCACAAGTTCATGAAGATGAGGAGCAATTTCAGCAATGCCACCTTCAGCAGCAGCGCCAAGAGCAAGGATACCACATTCTCTATGAAGCCAGTCGCCGCTTTCTAATTCAGTCTTGAGAAGAGGAATCAAAATATGGACGACTTCAGCCTTGAAGGAAGTACAGAGCACATCCAAGGTAGCAGCGCTACACTTTCTCAAATTCCATTCGCCATAGAATTCATCATCTTCAAACTCATCAAACTCATCATCATCTTCATCGTCTTCATCATCCTCGTCATCGTGCAGCTTCTTATCTTCTGAACCTTGTTGATCTTCTCCATCGGTATGACCAACGACATTGGCTTTATGGAAACGAGGTTTGATATCTTGCTCGCTATCAGCAACATGAGCATCATCTTCATCACCTCCCAAGGTGAGCAAGTCCATTTCGGAATAGACCATACCCTTCAGCAAAACAGGTACAACCTTTTGGAGATAAGGACGGAGTTGTTCTCGGAGCTCGTCTTGTTCAGCAAAGACTAGCCAGAATTCACAAGATTCAAGGGCCAAGTCGGCATCATCGGACTGGGTACAGAAGAGCATGTATTCGACTAAATCGGGCAAGTGAGGTAAGAGCACATCGGGGCATATCTCGAGCAGGCCAACTAAGCTTTGGCATACTGCTTTACGAACTTCGATGTTATCGTCCGTGGCACGTTTGAAGAGGGAGCTCAAGAATTCGTTGATACGTTTCATAAGAGGTTCCGAACGAAGCGTAATGAATTGAGAGGTGGATGAGATGGCGCTGAGACGCACTTTGTGATTTGGGTGGTCAAAGAAGGCAATGAACTTGGGAATCATAAACTCTAATGGCTGAACACCGCCAATCACTGTATCCAAGTCGCGGGAGCAATCTTCACAAATCTTTTGGAAAGTGCTAAACGCATTCTATAAACACCGTTAGTTTTTTTCTTTCCTTTTTTTTTTTTTATCTTTCCCAAAATATTACCTCAACTACAATGGGATTAGGATCATCTAGTTTTGCCAATAAGACTTGAATAGCCTGTGGCCAATTTTGAATCTGTCCGCGTTGAACAATAGCTGCAATCACTAAACTGACAGGTTTGCCTACTTCACTGTCACCAATATGTTGAAGACAACATTCTTTAACGTAGTCAAGAACCTGTGGAGGAATAGTAGGATAGTATGAGCGAATGTTATTCTTGAGAGTTAAGCCTGCAACAGAACGAATGTACTGATCTTCTTGAGGCATTTGAGTTAAAATGTAAACCAAGTAGGAATTATAGTCAGGAACTTTGTTAAAGTATTCTAATCTCTAAGATAAAAGAAAGAAGTATTAGTTTTCTTTTCACACAAGTATGTTTATTCATTTCTTTTACTTGTTGAACATTTTGACTATCTGTTGGATTAATAGCCTCACGCAAAAGTTGTAAAAGGTCAGAAAGACCTTGTGGTTGAGGCTGCCAGTTACTCATTTCCTAGCCAATAAATTAGTTATCACCTTTCTATTTTTCTCGAGAAAGTAAATACATACAAATATCAATAGTTAATATTAAGCCCAAAGGTGGATGCAGTAAAGAAAGGGAAGAAAAAAAAATAGCTTTCCTTTTTCTCTCTTTTTTGATGGCAATTAGAAAAAAAAAAAAAAAAGGTACTTAAAAAGTGGCTTTAACCGTTTTAGAATTAAAAAAAAAAAAAAAAGGCCGCAAGGAGAAACAGAATGGGAGCTGACCGCCGATTGAGAAGAGAAAGAAAGAGAGAAAAGAGAGGGAGAGGGAGGGAGAGAGCAAAGGTAAAGCCAGAGAGAAGGTTTGTGACGTAGCCGATAAGCCACCACCTTCTTCTTGTAAGTCTAGTAAAAGTACATCTCTCTCTTATTAAAGCACCTGATTATGCTGAAAGAGGAATGAATAAAGAGCCATTAAATGAATTGCATTAAAAAAAAAAAAGATTCACAAGTCTGTTTTTATTGCCTTTAGCTTCGAGACCGACTTTTGATAGAACGGGTTTATAAACGAAATCGAAAATGGCCTATTCCCTTTTGTTGTTTTACAATGCGTTGTTATAGTAAGGTTTGGGCCATAAAGTCTAAAGTAGACAGGCATAAAATGCGTCAGTCAAATTTAATATGAATATCCACTTGTATTATTGATCTGTCAAGAGAATTTGATGATCATGTGACTAGAACTTGTTTATTCAAATACACTCATGATTCAAAAAAGAGGTTAGAAAATGTGATGGTCATGCTTATGTAGGACTTGTATTTCTCCTGATACGAAAAGGAAGCCCGGGTTTCAGAGTGCCGGATATGTAGGGATGGATCTGCCAAGCCTTGTACCACAAAAAATCTTTAATATTTCTTGTATCATCTAGCAACACAAGAGTTGTACTCCTTTTATGTTGACTTCAAAATGGAGAGATGATAAGGACGTTCTGTTGTTTCTGATGATGCTGATCAAGAGCCTAATGAAGCATAAGCCACATGAATCATATAATGGTGATACAAATAAGAAACGGAGTTGATTCATATTTTTAGGTACAATGCACTTAAGACTTTCTTTTTTCTTTATTTTTTTTCTTCTAAATGAATTTTGATCAGGAGTTTAAAGAGAATATTTATGAGCCTTGGAGAAGCGAATATGTCAATTATGAAGAAATTCAATTCAATTTAAAAAATCAATACATATCGCAACCCGAATTCGAATCCATCATATCAGCAGAAGCAGACAAAGTAGAGTTATTTATTAATAGAAAACAACGTGAAATAGAATCAAGGATATCTTATTGTGAACGAAGCCTTTCAAATGTGACATCACCCTTAGTGTATGAAACAACCGATGACGCACTAACAGAGATGCTACTTGACCTGAACGACCTTTCAAAATACACTCGTTACAATTTCTTGGCCTTACAGAAATTAATAAACGAAACCAAGTTTGATCACTCTCGGTTACTTTACTGGCTACGTTCAAAATCACTAGATAAACAACGGTTCGATCTCGCTCTTGTCAAAATAGCTACTCTTCATGACCTCTGTCGACTTCATGGAAAGGCAAGACCCCCTTCGCCTTCAAATATAGACGGCACATTCGAAAAGGCCAAGTTTTGGGTACATCCTGACAATGTTACGGAATTGAAGGCTATCTTATTATTTCATTTACCCGTCGTTATATCCAACACAGACAAACCAATTGAACAATCAGATAGCTCAGTATCCAGCATTTACTTTGACAACCCTTATTTCGACCTATATCAGAACCGACTTCAACGAGACGAAGGAGCCGAGGCAATTCGTTGTCGCTGGCTCGGACCTGTAAATGAGGCAAAGGAAGTTTATATCGAACGCAAGACACACCATGCGCCCTGGATGAACGGTTTATCCGTCAAGGACAAACTTTCATTCAATGTAGACCAAGTGGATGGGTTTATCAAAGGCACTTATACAGCTGAGCAGTACGCCAACGACTTGCGTCACAAGAAGAACATGCCTGAGGAGCAAGTGAAAAAGTGTCATGCGATTGCTTCGGGCATTCAAATGTCAATACAGGAAAGGGAGCTCGAGCCGATGATGCGAGTGTTCTATCATCGCACTGTCTTTCAGGTTCCTGATGACCCACGTATCGTTATCACGCTTGACACAGATGTCAACTTTATACGCGAGGATCCACCGAGAGGACATTGGCGAAGAGAGAATATGGATTATCCCTTTGACTCTGAGGAGGAGGTCTACTCATTTCCTTACGCCATCATGGAGACCACAACCCATATACCTCCTCCTGAATGGCTCACACGACTATTCGATTCACGATTGGTTTATGAAGTGCCTCGATTTTCCAAATACTTGCAGGGTGTTGCCTATTTTTGGAACTCAAGGCTACCCTTGGTGCCCTGGTGGTTGGAACAGCTCGAACTCGATATCCGTAATGCCAAACAGCCTACAGGCAATTTCAGTGGACTCTCTCGGTCCAAGAGCTTGAGACCACTGATCGATGGCAAGTATCGTATGGGCTACCTTGAATCTCAGTTAGAACGAAGCGCTGGCTTCAAACGCACTGTCAATCGATACTCGGCTGCATCTCGAGCGAGTAACCCATTTGATGATCCTATCTGGTCACAACATAGCCCTCTATCACCCACCACTGCTTCTTCCATCAGTCGAGTCATGTCGCCCTCGGATGGTCGAAGGACGACGATATTCTTGGATTCAGCCTCCACCGATTTTCTCATTGGCGGTAAACATACGCCAAGATCTTCCTATTTACAAGTCGAAAAGGATGAAAAGGAAAAAGAACGACTGTTTAGTGAAGACATTACGATCGTGGAAGAAGGCCGAAGGAATAAAAAGGAAAAGAAGGCAGAAGAAGAAAAGCTAGGTGCAGAAGTAGAAGTAGAAGAAGAGGAAAAACCAAAGAAGAAGAAAAAGAAGAACAAGGAAGGAGGCGCAATGGTTGAACCAAAAATCTTTTTTGCTAATGAACGTACGTTTATTCATTGGTTACACTTTGCTACCATCCTTCTGTCGGCTGCCGTCACTCTCTTGAACTTTGGTGATCGTGTCAACCGTATTGTGGGAGCCGTCTTTTTTGGTATTGCCTTCTTGTTTTCTTTCTACTCCTTTGGATTTTATCGTTGGAGAGCGCATAGAATAGCGACCAAACCTCATTTGAGATTCGATGATATCTTTGGACCTGTGATTTTGTGTATCTTATTGATCGGTGCCCTTGTTGTAAGTACTTGCTTGCATACATGCATGAAAAAAAAAACTCATCTTTTTATATAGCTTAACTTTGCTCTTCGATTCAATACGCCACCACAAAACAATTCTTATTTGGGTGTAAACAATACTAATACTTCCGACTTGTAAAACTTTTTGCTTCATGATGATGACGTTGATGAAACTTTTATACACTCTTTAAAGAAATATAATAAAAAAGGAGAGGAATTATATTCCCCTTATACCACGCATATCTCTTTATCTCTTTTTCTCTTTACACCCCTTGTTCTATTTTGTATTGAGATGTCATCATAAACAGCATCATTGGTTATCCAAGAAAAAAGTATGCGGACTTTTTTTGACTAAAATAACAACAAGCAATAGCTATTTTTAACTTCAAAAAAAAAATCCTTTTCTTGTTTCTCTTTTTCTTTTTTTTCTGTGTAAAATATGAAATTTGCTGAGCATCTGCAACAAGAAATATTTCCACCATGGAAGCTATCTTATATCTCATACGATGTCTTAAAAAATGATTTGAAGTCAAGACAGTTAGATCATACATGGAATCAACAAGATGAACAAGAATTTGTTAGAAAACTGGATAATGAGCTAGAAAAGGTCTATGATTTTGTAACTGCAAAATTAGGTGAGGTGGAAGCAAGAATTAGCTATTGTGAGAGGACAATCCAAACGTTTATAAATAATCCCTCGTGGTCGTCTGACCAAAATTGGACAATTATGGAGGATGCATTAACCGAGGTTCTCTTTGATGTAAATGACTTGGCAAAATTTACAAGGCTAAATTATATTGGATTTCAAAAAATACTTAAAAAACATGACAAATACACTGGCCTAGACTTACAGCATGAATATATTCCAAAATTAAGGGCGAAACCATTGGACAAGCAACGATTTGATGTTGCCATCGTCTTCATTTCTGCTTTACTCGATCTTTGTAAACAACGTGGAAAGAGGCCTAAGAGTGCGACAAGTCCATTCAATGAAAATAATGTTCAGAGATTGAATGATGATGATACTACAGCCAAATACTGGGTCCATCCAGATAATATCACTGAAGTCAAATCGATCATCATGCTTCATTTGCCTGTCTTCATCCAGAACTCAGACAAGCGATACGAACCTTCGGATGCCGCGGTGTCCAATATCTATTTGGATAATCAAGAGTTTGGTCTTTATACAAGTGTGCTTCAGCGTGATGAAGGTGCTGAAGCGATCCGTTTCAAGTGGTACGGTCCAACCTCCAACAAGACTGTCTTTGCTGAACGAAGCACACACAAGGCACATTGGCTCGACGGCGCTTCCGTCAAGGACCGCATCGAATTAGTTGCAGATGACGTACATCGATTCATGACAGGCACTCTTAGCGCACAAGAGTACACCAGCAGATTGCGAGCCAAGGGCGTAGATCCTAAACTTGTCGACCAAGCCTACTTTATTGCCAACGGTATTCAAACATCCATTCGAGACAAACAACTGGAACCTGTTTGCCGTGTGTTCTATCACCGCACTGTGTTCCAAATGCCAGAAGACCCACGTGTGCGTGTCAAGATTGATAATGATGTGGCGTTTGTGCGTGAAGACAACTTTATGAGGGCTAGACGTAGAGGACCTCAAGACTGGCGTCGACAGGATGTTGGCATCGATTATCCATTCAGCTACCTACATGAATCCGAGATTTTGCGATTCCCTTATGCCGTTCTAGAAGCAAATGTGGAGCCTGGAAACAGTACCCCTGAGTGGCTCAAAAAGTTGTTAGATTCACATCTCGTCCATGAGGTGCCACGGTTCTCTAAATATTTACATGGCGCATCTTATCTCTTCCGCGACCGTCTGCCACTGTTACCCTGGTGGCTGTCTGAAATGGAAATTGATATTCGGAAACCTCGTGCTTCCAATTTTGGTCTCAGTCGTTCCAAATCTTTCAAGCCACTGGTCGATGGTCAATACCGCCGTGCCATGGAAGCAGAGCAACTGCGAATGGACTTGGTCAATGAAAACAACAAAGACGCAAAGAAGGCCCTTCTCGACCGAAATAAATCGATCAATGATTGGGATAATCGTCCTCATCGTATGCAGTCAACTCTGGTCGTCAAAGGAGATGATCCACTCAATTACGGTCCGCTCAAGGAAAAACGGGTTAAAAAACCCGATGGACCTCTTGGCGAAGCGATCGTGTTCTCTAATGGAGATATCCGTCTGGACATGGGCGATGGTTCTGGTGGTAAACGACTCTTTGAAAGCTCAGGCATGTATGTCAAGGATCCCAACGATCCCAATGCGGTTATTCCTGTCAAGAAGGTCAAGGTAGAACCCAAGGTGTTTTTTTCAAATGAACGTACCTTTATTGCTTGGCTTCAATTTTGTGCTCTGCTCTTATCAGTGGCTCTTAATTTGCTCAATTTTGGTGATCAAGTGTCTCGTATTGCTGGTGCTCTCTTTATCGGTATCTCGGCTGGTATTGCTATCTATGCCTTGTACCAGTTTGAACGTCGTGCATGGTAAGTTTTTTTGATCTTAATATTGCTTTGTTGTATATTAATTTTGTTTTTAGGATGATCAATCGTCGTATTGTGGGTCGTTATGATGATCTGTGGGGTCCTGCTGTTCTCTGTGTTCTCTTGGTGGCTGCATTAATCGTAAACTTTTACCTCCGTTTCCGTTAGACATCATATTATTTTATTACCGTTTTTTTTTGCATGTATGTGTATATACTCTTTCATCTCGACTCTCTTTTTAAAGCCTTTTTCTTTCTTTTTATTCGATTATACCTCATTAAATGGAATTGTTTATTATTTATATTTAATTGCCTGAGTGAAAGTACTCTGGTATATGATTAAAGGTATCAGGTAACTCACACAAATGATATATAATCCTTTCCTCCCATCGTCCAAATATCATCTATGGTACCATGCCACCTATAACCTGCTCAAACCTTATTTGTCTCAATTTTTTGATTTACATCTTGGCCGAAAAGCCAATAATACATGTAGGGGGAAGGGAAATAGGATGAGGCCAACCCATTCTTGCATTATCATCTTCCTTTGTTAACTTTACGATTACAGGGTTAACCATATTGTTTAGTAGAGTTAAATGTTTCGAATTCTATCTGTATGAACTATTCACTTGGTGCTCCACTGTTTGTTCTAATAAACAAGGTTGTTATTTTTAATTCATTAAAGCACACCTGTACCTTTATGCTCCAAAAGGATATGACCAGCTAGGGTAGTAGCCATTTTATTTAATACATTAAAAGTGTTATAGGTAGCTCAAAAAAAAAAGTAGAGTGCGTGTGGCCTAAGCAGAGCTTTTTTATCGATTACAAATATCACAGTACATACAGTTGCACATTCTAAATGTATAAAATAGTGTTGTATTTCTACGTTTATATTAAACAAGATTACAACCTTTGACGTCAAATAAACGATGTATTTCGTATACAAACCAAAGTCATCTTAAATATCAACACAATACATTGTATTAAGCTACAACATTGATTCATGACATCTGTAGTCTGTAGTAGTTGATGACGCGTCATACGATATAATTCACTAGATGTAATTGGTTGACAACACTTCTTCTTGCATGTAAAGGATCAATTCCCCTTTTCCCATAAATCTCTTTTTTTTTTCTTTGGTCATAAATTATTACAATATGACTTGTTCCATTTCTTTATTCATTGACGATATCACAAATAGATATTAATACCTCAATTCATTCATTGATAGCTGCTGGAATGCCAATTAGTATTAACAGCATCACCGTACATCTGACGGACTCCATTGTAAATAACTATGACGGCGTAACATCACTGTTTGTTTACAAGGTCTCCTGGTGCCCCGACATTATTCGTGTTGTGAAAACACTAGGCATTAATTACGTACGAATAGTATCTATGCCCTATATTATCTTTACTTTTTTATTTTATTTTATTTTAGAAAAAGGGCCGCCCGAACAGGGAGAAGATCGCCATGATGATAATTGATAAACGGTTATGGATCGTTCATCCCGCTTCTGATCCAACAACATATTACAGCAATTCTGTCAGCGACAGCCAGCCTGCTACAGAAACCAGCACTTTATTCGCAGATTCCGCTTCGACAGATAGCAGCATGAAGTAGTTAAAATTGTTGTCAAAAGATATGGACCCTGAAAAACACAATGATATCCTTCCTAGTTTTACTAGTGAAGGATACCAAAAGTAAAAGAAAAAGTGGTACTTTGGCTGAGCAATAACTAAGTAATGATAAAATAAAAGTCCAAGAGGGGAACTTTGAAACATTTTCAGGATACGAGTGAAGTAAAATTTGGAAGTAAATGATTAGGAATAAGTTGTCCTTGTTTTGCGAGCCTTGGCTGCGGTTCTGAGCAGACGTTTTCTAAATTGACATAAATTGCTTTAATGCACTTACCTGATTATCTCAGCCTTCTGGATTGCCCTTCAATTGCTTGATTTAGTCATTGTACTTGGCGAGCAAGACATGAACATTTTGGCCCGCGCTTTCTAACAGTTCACCGCAAAGAAGGTCTTGGTCTTCCTTTGAGGCATCAAACCTTTCTTATTAAGGAATAGGGATAGAAACGCGATAAGAAAAGGGCAACTTGGTTACGCGACTTTGTTTTATATTATCAAAAAGGAAGTTCAGTACTTTTAGGATTTTACTCCAGTGTTGATTACAACAAGCCATACACTTAAACAAGACTTAACTAAGACTTAGCTGGGATAGTTTGGCACTTACTAAACATGATCCCATTCATTCGCTCTCCCAGTTCATTCCTTTCTTTGTTCTCTAATTTCCTTACTCTTTCTTTTTGTCTTCTCTTGCTTTTCTGAGCCACTTATCGCTGCTTACACCCAAGATACACTTCGGGTAAGACATTAATAATCTCTTTTAAATGTTTATTCACTTTTTTTGCTTCCCTTTCTAATAAATTCCTTTTTTAATATAGGTGCTTATATATTAATGTAACGACTGATTTACTAAAAAAAATTATCCTATTATTTTGGTGGACTCCTATTTATATCATTTGCTGCCTTATTATTTTATCAATGTGCGAATAAAGTGTAATAACAGGTCTCTTTTGAGAATCATCTGTCAAAATGGATACTTTATTTCATACCGTTTCGTACATTGTCATATTCACTCATTGGATAATCTAAGTGATTAGGTACCTGATCTAACCGCCTTCCTAAGCCGTCATAGGCCGCATTGACCAGACTTCTCTGAGGACAATCCGCACTTAGTTCCCAAAACATGGCACCGCCCAACCGTCTTTGTTGTATGTAATTACACTTTGCAGCAACCATCTGAGGTGTATCATATGTGATAAATTCACGAGCCTGAGGGTCATAAGACCATGAGGCTAGTCGATCAAAGTCGTGGTATTCTACAGCACCCGGTTTTGGTAATGTCTTATAATCAAATTGACCCTCTTCCCAGGTACCGCGAGGCAGTCCTTGGAAAGGATGACCCGGCCCCGCCGTATTGCAAAATCCTCGACCATATAAAGGCATACCGACGACTAGCTTATGTGGAGGGATACCGCAAGCGATATAGTGCTGTACTGCTTGTTCTGTATTCAATCTGCCACCATAAACAGCCGCTTGATGATCTGCGACAGAATCCCATGAGCCAGCATAGTCGTATGCCATGAGGTAAAATAGATCCACGTAAGGCTGCATTTCGGTCAATCTCAATTTGCGATAATGGTCGGGACCGCAAGGCACGGCTACTGTAAGTAATAATCGCGACTGATTCAGTTGATGGCACTGTTGTTGGTATTTGTCAAGCGCCAGTCGCAACTCATAGAGCAGATGTACATAATGAAACGCTTCCTCGTCATCTTTGGGATACTCCCAGTCAATGTCAAGTCCGTCCAAACCCAAGTTGGCTAGGTGTTTGATGCTGCTCTCTACAAATAGTCTGCGTTTCTGAGGATCACGCGCAACCGCGCCAAAGTGAGTAGACCATGTATATCCGCCAATACTAAGTGACACTTTCAGGTGGCGGTGTTGTTGCTTGAGTAAATAGAACTGCTTAAAGTTGCCGTAAAGGTTCTTGCCTGGATCATTCCATCCGTCTTCTTTTCGGTTCACTGATTGGTCTATATATTGTGTATGAATAACGGAAAGGTTTTATATCTGTTTATATATATTTTTTTTACTTGCTGGAAAATGCTTTTCAATATCTGCATAAGCATCCTATATTCATAATTATTATAATATTCTATATCTTGTAATAATCTATACCCCAAGAACAACTTGACCATCCGGTTGGACATTAGCAAATGCATACAGAATATGAGTCAACTTATTGACTTGAGTAGCTACATCAACAACATTGTATTTTCTATCGTAGATTCCCCTATTACATTCTAGTCAGTTGAGTTGAGTTCCTCTCTCTGCCTTTGTTATGCAATGTTACCAATTAGCAAAGTAACCTGCAATAACAGGTCCGTTTGTTGCTGGAGGTGGTTCCATATGAGAAGTCAAGAAAAGTAAAATGAAAAAAAGAGCCAAGAAAATATCTATTTTTATCATTATATTCAGCTGTTGTAGAGTTCTATTGTAGAACAAAAACTTGTATACGCTTTAGGAAGATGAGACACTTGACATTTCATTCCGAGCATGAATACAAGTAGACATGATAACAACAAAAAGGTCAAAACTGACATACTGTTGAGACGAGAGACCCTTGAATCATGAGGAAATAACAAGGTATACACGCAGTACTATTGAATTAGTGTTATTATCATTGCTCTTTTCTACAAAAGTAGAAACTAGTGGACAGGGATGGAATACGCTAATGAAAGCCTTACGCTCGCATCGATGATACCCAGCTCTTAAAGAAATACAAAGAAACATAAGGTCATTAATATATTTGGTTCATTATACTAAATAGGCTTTCATAGAGCGCATATTATACTTGTACGAAAGTGATAGTAAAAGCTCAATGCTCCCTTCTTCAAGCAGTAGAAGCTTGTGTAGTTATATATCACTTTGAATTTATTAAACATTCATGCAAATATATACAAGAACTGTTGTAGAAGGAGAAGACGATTTATCATTCATAGAAACCTCTTCTACAGTTCGGTGTGCTCTTACTGCTAGATTAACCAACACCAAGCAGTTAAAGTGGGTCATGTAAAGAAAGCCCTTCATATAAAAAGACCGTCAGAACAACTAGTGAAGGCGAAGATTTACAAGATAACAGAAGATATTTTTATTTATTTTTTTTTTTTCCAACAAAAAGAAAGCATTCTATATAAACACTAAACCTTTTTTTTTACATCTATATAAACTGTACAATTTAATCAACTTCTTCCATCTTGGAAACTTCAGCAACTTCTTCAGCAGCGGCTTGAGTAACGGGTTCATCAACAGTGGTTTCATCTTCATCAATAGAGAGACCAAGAGAGACCATACGGTTGATACGAGTAGCGAAGGAACTAGGATCGTCAAGAGAGAAACCAGATGTTAAGAGAGAGGTTTCGTACAACAAGGTGACGAGGTCCTTGGCGGTACGGTCGTTAGCATCAGCAGTGATCTTGGCCTTAAGAGCCTTAATAATAGAGTGCTTGGGGTTTAATTCAAAGGTCTTCTTGGAAGCCATGTAGCTAGACATGGTAGAGTCACGGAGAGCTTGAGCCTTCATGATACGTTCCATGTTGGCAGACCAACCAAATTGACCAGTGGTCAAGACACATGGAGAATCAGTCAAGATTTGAGAAAGAACAACCTTTTCGACCTTGTCGCCGAGGATATCCTTGACACTCTTGCACAAGTTTTCGTATTCCTTGGCTTCTTCTTCACGCTTCTTCTTTTCTTCTTCATCTTCTTCCAAGAGTTCAGCACCCTCCTTTGTGATACAGACCAATTTCTTGTCTTCGTATTCCTTCAATTGAGTGGTAGAGTATTCATCAATAGGGTCAGTCATCAAAAGGACTTCAATACCCTTCTTCTTGAAACCTTCCAAGAAGGGAGAGTTTTCAATGGCAGTGCGAGATTCACCGGTGATGTAGTAGATGTTCTTTTGCTTCTCGGGCATACGGGTGACGTAGTCCTTGAGAGAGGTCATTTCATCGCCAGACTTGGTGGAGTGGTAACGTAACAAGTCAGCGAGCTTGCCACGGTTTTGGGTGTCTTCGTGGATACCGAGCTTAAGGTTCTTGCTGAAGGCTTCATAGAACTTGTCGAATTGTTCCTTGTCTTCGGCAATTTCTTGGAACATTTCAAGACACTTCTTGACCAAGTTCTTGCGGATGACCTTCAAGATCTTGTTTTGTTGAAGCATTTCACGAGAAATGTTAAGAGGCAAGTCTTCAGAGTCGACAACACCCTTGACAAAGTTCAACCATTCGGGGATCAATTCATCACAGTCATCCATGATGAAGACACGACGGACGTAGAGCTTGATGTTGTTTCTCTTCTTCTTAGTTTCAAACATGTCGAAGGGAGCACGCTTGGGAACGTAGAGGATAGCACGGAATTCGAGTTGACCTTCAACAGAGAAGTGCTTGACGGCCAAGTGGTCTTCCCAATCGTTGGTAAGAGCCTTGTAGAATTCGGCATATTCTTCAGCCTTGACATCTTCGGGGTTACGTGTCCAGAGAGGCTTGGTCTTGTTGAGTTCCTCATTTTCGGTCACAGTTTCCTTAATGGTCTTCTTCTTCTTTTCATCCTTCTTTTCTTCTTCATCAGTAACTTCTTCAATCTTGGAGTCAGTAGCTTTTTCTTCTTCTTCTTCGCCTTCGACTTCCTTTTCAACTTCCTTTTCAACAACGAGTTGAATGGGGTAGGAAATGAATTCGGAGTGCTTCTTGACGATATCCTTAATTCTTCTTTCTTCGAGGTATTCGAGCTATTTATCATTAGAACTTTTTCTTTATATATATATGTGTGTGTGTCTTACTTGATCTTCCTTCAAGAAGAGACGCATTTCAGTACCACGACCGAGAGAGGGGTTAACTTCATCACGAGTGATAGTGAAAGAACCACCAGCGGCAGATTCCCAAATGTATTGTTCGTCATCATTGTGCTTAGTGATGACTTGAACCTTATCAGCAACAAGGTAAGCAGAGTAGAAACCGACACCGAATTGACCAATCATGGAAATATCAGCACCTGCAGAGAGGGCTTCCATGAAACCCTTGGTACCAGACTTGGCAATAGTACCCAAGTTGTTGACCAAATCAGCCTTGGTCATACCAATACCAGTATCACGAATGGACAAGATGTTGTTTTGCTTGTCGGGGATGATACGAATGAAGAGTTCCTTTTCACTGTCGAGGACAGAGGGGTCAGTCAAGGATTGATAACGGATCTTGTCCAAGGCATCAGAGGCGTTAGAGATCAACTCACGCAAGAAGATTTCCTATACAAAAATTTGTAAGCATATTATCTCTCTTAAAGCGCGCACGCGTGCAAAATATTTCTTATATTACCTTGTTTGAATAGAAAGTGTTGATGATCAAACTCATCAACTGAGAGATCTCAGCTTGGAAAGAAAAGGTTTCGGTCTCGGCAGACATTTTTATGATTGAGAAGGGAAGAAAGAAAAGAAAAGAAAAAAAGAGTAGCTTGACAGTTTGATCAAAATTTTTGTTCTCTCCCCTTCAGTTTTTTAACAAATCATAAACAAGCATGAAATTATTTTCTTCTAGTACTTTCTACACACAATAAATTAAAGTGCCGCAATGTGAACCGCTTTGTTTTATTTATCAACGTAATCTACTTCTTCAGTAACATCCTTTGAAAACCATACTGTGCCATTTGTTCTATTTCCTTTAAATTCTTCAAACAGGTTTTCTTTAAATGTTTCTCTAATAAAGCATTCAATAACATTTGGTATGATCAAACTATAATCTCTCCAGAAGCTAGCACCCTTGGAGTCACCATATCTTCCAACACTGTGAATGGTAAACTCAGGAAGGGAATGGGTGTGACTGTAACATTACGCAGTCAATAATTTTCACAAAAAACAGTTCAATACCTTGGTTACCTAAACAATTGCCCTAGTCCGTATTTATGCTTTTCAATCAGATCCTGAACAGTTTTATCCTTCACAACTAGAAATGACTCTGCTTTATATACATATTGATTAGCAAAGAACATGTGCATCTCGCGATCATATTGAGCAAAAGGCGATGACATGACCATATCATTTTTTATGATCTCTGCTTGACTTGGTTCATTGTAGTATGCTGACAACAGCCTCTGGAGATTACCATTAGATTGAAGAATCATTCTTTCCATAGGTGAAAATGCATCAGGTAGTCTCAAAAAGACGTTTTTTGAAGTTACTATATTAAGTTGTATTAATGCAAGGTTAACCTATTTTTCGCACGACTGTATTTCATACTTTCTTCTGTAAATTGAAATGGTATCCTTTTGAAATGTTCTGTTCCTTTTGGCATACGTATGCTTCCTGGCATTTTATGTTTTGATGTAAAATGTTATGATAACAAAAGGGAGCGTTTATATATGGTTCAAAAAGAAAAAGAAAAGGGCGCCCCTCTCTCTTTCTATCGTCTCTTTTATTTTAATTGGTTAAAATTTGTTTTCAATAGATAAAAAAAAAAACTTAAGGGACTGAAGGATACAAACAAAATGCAATTTATGCTGTCATACCTGTTTGTTCTCACAGCTCCCAAATTGAGGAGAGTTAAAGATGATCAACAGGTTAACGTATCAGTTGCTATAGCAATTAGTTGTGACAAGCGTAAGGACAGACGATAAAAGACATTCACATCTATAATTTAAAGTAAGATCCTTTTGATGATAACAAGCATGATGTTCAGTCAAACGTTAGGCTTGGATCATGCATATCAAATAAACATTATGCCCGTTGTTCAAAAGCACGCCCCATTAGTTGGCATGGTTTATCTATCCGAAGGAAAAAGGACAAAGGAGAATGTAGAAAGACATAAATAGAACAACAACAAAGGCTCATTAGATATATATATATATAAAAAGCTCATGTCTAGTTTATTAGTCATTTGATAAGAAACAAGCATGTGAACAACAGCAACAACTATAATAATAATAATAGACAGCATAAATTAATAAAATATTCTGTTGTTATGCCAGTGGTCGCCTGGATGCAACAGATAGGGCGAGATAACCGATGTTGTAGGCAGACTGGTATAGACATTTTCTGGCGTAAGTAAGGTTTGACTGGTAGGCGTTACATCACATACGGTATAAGACGGCATAACCATAGGCATAATCGGATCATAACAATATGGATAGGTAATATGAGCGGCAGGAGACGAATTACTGAACATTACAAAGTCTTGATACAGGTATTCATTTCCTATATGTCTTTCGTCTTGATTATATGTGTGCATCTGCATCACATGCATTTGATTGTACATAGGGTCTTCTGCATAACCAATAGCATTGTTGTCATAGCCACTCGTCTGATATATACAGGGATAATGACCAAGTTTCAGGTCATCTTCTTCAAAAAAAGTTGCTGGGGTCTTGAGGGTACTATCAGCAGGAGATATATCAAAACTTGAGACACTTGTGGTCCTTTCTATATCATCTTCTTTAAATTACCTTTCTTGTTTATCTTGACTTTCTTCCTCAGCTACAGCAATCTTTCTTTCTGGCCTCTTATTGCCACTTGGGCTTTTTCTCTTCTTGGGGTTAAATTTATAATCAGGGTACCTAAGGTAGAACATAAGTTTTTTGCATGTTTTGCTAAAAAAGGAGACTTACATCTTTGTATGTTCACCCTTGGCTACCTCTGCCTTGTTTCGAAAGACTTGCTTTTCTTCATCTGATGCTTCATGCCACCACTTGGCAACCACTTTAGAGATTTCACGATGATTAGCCAAAGGACAGTGTTTCCTGATGACCGCTTGCATTTCTGTACGATACGATAAGAAGCTATTCATAGGACGAGGTATATGATTGGGATCTCTTTTGCGAATTCGAGGACGACGAACTCTTCCGACTGGATTCATCATGGTTTTCTTTTGCAACTTGATCAGGTCTTGTTTTTGTGATTCATTAATGTCATGGTCTTGTGCAAGTTGGGACATTTTGATTATGAAGGAGTGTGTGGGGTGAAAGAATGTAAAGTGTACTATTAGAGGGAAGAGAAATAGCCAAGAGTGGGTGTATATATACACAATATTGGTTTCATTATTCGTCTTTAAAAAGTAGTTCTCCATTTAAAACAAAAACACTACTCTCATAAACAATGAATTAACGCACACTCTCTCATATTGACTCTTTATATAATAAAAACAAATAATTATGTTGGGGGTGCTATGATGCTCTCTTTTTTTTAGGGTCCTTTATTATCATCAACAATTTAAGCCTTGACAGCATACTTGCGAAGAGGGAAGTGAGCCAACTTCTTTTGTTGACGAACAGTCTTTAAGGACTTTTCATAAGGAGTCAAGGCTCTACGCATAGCACGGGTCTTCTTGACACGGAGATCCAAAGGAACGTACTTCTTCTTTTGATAGAAGAGACGGAGTTGTTCACGTTGAGTTTGGTTGATGACAGTCAAGACACGAGCAACGTTCTTGCGAGCTTCACCACTTAAAAATGGGTCAGTTACAGCGACATCATATCTATACACTACACTTACAGTTCTTGGGCTCTACCACCGGCGACCTTTTGAACACGGAGGTTGGCAAGGGCTTGCTTTTGTTCGTCAAGGACCTTGAGAAGCTCAGCCTTGTTCTTGTTACGGAGTTCGTGTGCTTTAATGGCAGCCTAGTGAAATGAATTGTCAATAAGCATATACTTTTTTCCTTTTCTTTAAAGTAGATTGTTGTCTTGTATGTCTTTTTTCACAATCAGCATAAACAATAATAAAATGTCGTAACATTACTGAATTCCATGTTTAAGCATGTGTTGACATTTAATTCTCTCCCTCTCTCTCTCATTGTCTCTGTTTCTCTGTCTGTCTTTAATTGTTCATATTGATCCATAAACTTCCATGTCGAAATTTGTTTATAACTGATCGATCAAAAGACATCAAGACAAACGCCTTCTTGTAGATGAAATGATGATGGATGATGTATTTACCATTTCTATGGATGTATGCTTCAAGAGTATAAGAGGGGGGTTTCTTGATTCGCTTTGCTGTATACTTGTTTTGCTTCATTTCCAAAAAAAAAATCCCACTCTTTTGGGTTCCGAGCCGGACAAAGCTGTATATTGTTTCACTTGGGTCCAGACTTGAATGAGGAGGGGGGGGGGAATAAACAGCAGTAGAGAGAGAGATAACTGAAGGGTGAAGGAGAGTAATGAAATCAATCGTGAGCACAGATGTTGAATAAAATTTCCTCTTTCATTCTTTAACGAAATGGTAACATCTCTTCTCATCCATCCATCGTCCATCTGACACCATACACCCATGTAGGCCAAACGCACAAAGAAGGTCGGAATCACTGGTAAATACGGTACTCGTTATGGTGCCTCCCTTAGAAAGACCGTCAAGAAGATGGAAATCACTCAACACTCCAAGTACACTTGTACTTTCTGTGGTAAGGACGCTGTCAAGCGTACTGCTGTTGGTATCTGGAAGTGCAAGGGCTGTAAGAAGGTCTTGGCTGGTGGTGCTTACACCGTCTCGTAAGTTGTACTGAATCTTTGAAATGTCATTTTTAACTTTATATTAGCACTACTGCTGCTGCCACCGTTCGTTCTACCGTTCGTCGTCTTCGTGAACTCGCTGAAATCTAGTTAGATTCAAACAAAATAATAATAAACGTTTGCTTTTATTAAAAAAAAATCAACATACAATTCACACATTCACGCATGTACACACTCTCTCACTCACTTATACTTATTCACTCACGCACACACTTATATGCACACGGACACAGCGAGAAAGAGTAGAGAGGATTAGCTTTCGTCGTCATCACTAAATGTATTTACAAGAGATTCAAACGTGATATCTTCGCTTTCTTTTGTTGGCTCTTTTGCTTCAGCTAGTTTCTCTTTTAAGAGCTTTGCTGTCAACTGATGCCCCACACGCGCAGCCTTATCAGCAGCCACCTGAATAAAGTAATTGGATGTATTTTGAGATAAAACCAGTTTACAGATTTCAGTGTATCCATGACTTGCTGCATATAATAGCGATAGATTGGCATGGTTGGGATAACACGGATCTGCCTTTGCTTGCTCCACCAGATACTGAACTAGGTCAATTTTTCGCTGTTGAACGGCCAAGTACAGCGGTGTTTCTTCAATATCATTGACTACATTGACTTGACAGCCGTGTTCAACGAGCTTCTTGACCACGTCTAATCGATTCCATGTGATGGCATAGTGGAGTACAGTGGCAAATCGTGTCCTGCCGTTCACATTGGCTCCACCATCAATCAACGCAATAGCTACATCTGAGTGTCCAAAACTGATGGCTAAAGCTAACGGTGAGAGACCACGTTGGTTGTGTGCATCAATAGGCACATGTTTGCTAATAAATAATGGAACTGCTTTTGTCACATCATTACTAGCGGCATGATGAAGCAGGGAATTGCCTTGCTCATCCACTACAGAGACATCAGCATCGTGTTCTAGTAAAAGTTGTATACACTCTTCTGATCCTGAAAAGACAGCGTTGGTAAGCGGTGTATGTCCAAGAGAATCTTTAGCATTCACAAGAGATCCATTTTCAATCAGTAATTCAGCTGAATCCAAATGCCCCTTGGCACATGCTGCGTGTAATGCGAGTTCATTATGTGGACCATTCACTTTATTGACATCAACTTGTTGTAGCAGTAACATACATAGCGCTTCTGTACTCTTGTTGTGGGCTGCAAGGTAAAGCAAGGTGTAGCCATCTGGATTGGCAGCATTAGCATCACCATTTGATTTGATGTATTGATATAATGCCTTGATATCCAATGTGTCTAGAGTAATCGCATCCCAAATGTTGGTAATTCTAGGCCTTGTATTTGATATAGTGGAAACCTCGGAAGCTAATCGTTTTGTTCCAATAGAGTTGGCCATATTGCTATGGTCTGTAAAAGGGGACAAAGTTGGAAAAGCCATAGCGGAGTTCCTGGGAAGCTGCTTGGTTTGCTTGGCTCAAAATAGACTGCACACACAATCGTTTTTGTCATTGATTGATATATTTCTTTCTTTCTTTTCAATATTTTTGTTAATTGCTTATGGTTTATTGTCTTTGAAAATAAATTAGCTTGTATATTTTCACTAGGCGTATTATTTTCTAAAAAAAAAGGAATAATGAATCAAAGTATTTCCATAAATATCTAAAAGACAAAAGCAAACACGCAAAAAAGATATCTCTATACAAAGTCATGTCGTTGCTTTGTATAAACCTCATGTTTAGCAATCCTTATGATATTACATAAGCAGCATCAATGTAAGACAATATGCCAAGTTACACTAAACGTAACATGGATTTCATTTGTCCATTGAACCGTATTTTTAAGTCATCCCTTCTCTTTCACTTATCCTTGGTTATTATAATCTTGTTTATCAGCCTGAGTAGATCGATCTTTAGTCATATAATTTGATACGCCTGAACGGAGAATGAAAATTCTCAAAATCTCCTTTTTGGACTTTGAACAAGGTAGAGATTGTCGTATAATGAAAAGCTGTTCAACCACATTTAATATACTTTTAAAGAGCATCTGATTTATCTACAAAAGTCCTTTTTTTTCTTTACAAAAAATCTAGAAAATGTTTCCTTTTGCCTTGTCATCTTTGTTTAAAAAAACAAGACATATGTTTGAAAAAGAAGCTTGTATAGTATCATTCGCGTTCGAATGCGATATTCCACAAAGTTACAAGTTGATAATCAATTTATTCATTAGTAAGGCCAACATGTACTACCATGAAAGCTTTTTTGATATAAAAAAAGAGGGAAGCAAGTGAATAAATGTATAGAAAAGTTTATTTATTCATTTTTTTATCTTGTAAATCTATACTAACTTTGCAAACCTACATAGGCTCTTCTATTCGCTTTTGCTTCAGGGCATTTTTTGGCAAAAAAAAAAAAAAAGAAATGCTATGGAAACTTGAGGTTATTATCAAAGTATTAAATAAAGTAGACACTGTCAAGTTTAGTTTTGTGAACCAATGCACGGACGTAAACCAAGCAAATATTTGGTCTCCTTTTCTAAGCTCATGTTTATTCATAAAACTGTGAATTTACCTTTTTGAATGACTCTTTTTTATTGTTTAATGTAGACAGATGAGAACTGGTTTCTTGTGTTTCGAATAGGTAAGAAAAAGAAGTATATGATTCCAGGCCACTATCTTGGTTTAATCATTGTTTACTTGCTACTATAAATTTTTATAAAAGCCTTATTAATCCAAAAAAAAGAAAAGCATATATACATATTAGGTATATACTTGTTCTACGAGATTATTGATGTTTGTTTATTCTTTTTATATACACGAGCTGCATAATAAAGCAGGTACTCTTCTTTTTTTTGTTTGTTTGTTTTTATGAGTATATCTTCGGCCATATGTCCTATTATGGTACCACATACCCCATTATTAAAAAAACAATCTCGTAAGACCCAAGCAAAAAATATTAACCTTAAATTAGTTTAGCTACTTGTGACTTTATAATCTTTAACTTGCTCATGATTATTAGAAGGGTTTATTTTTGATAACGTACGATATTTTGATAGAAAGCAAGGGACTCTAAGGATAAGAGGAGAACGATAGGATATTTTCTAAAGGATCTGCAGAAAATACACGTGAAATGATGATATAAGGTAAACAATCATATTAAGACATGGCTGTATCATTAACAACCATAATCAGGAGTATATATTGCCGAACTGTTGATAGGAGATGATTTGTCCGTAAACTCCATAAATACAATCACTTTTAAAGTAAGACGATGTAGAGTGTTAATTACAAGCACGTTATGCAATAAGGAGCAGTACGAGTTAATTAAAGCAAGAGCTTACCATGCTTATATTTCCTATCCTTTATTTGCACACGCTGCTATTGATTTCTCATGGCTTTCATGCGTTGCTTAATTGTAATGCGCAACCTAAGCATGTTTAGTAGTACATTATTGATAAGTTGTAGATGTTGATTTATGTTTACCTGGTGGATATATCAGATAATTATTGTGAAGAGTTTAAAGAGATAGTCTCTATCAACAAGCAATTGGCTTGAACGCTACCCCGACAATAAATTTCCCTCATACTTACTACCAGCTGAGCGTAATTCATTGATACTGTACGTTCTATGATCATTACCGTGAATCTTATAGAGTATCTACCAACATTAATTGTATTGCACCCACCTTGGCGCGCGAAAAAAAAGAGAAGGGACCTACTTAATCTCCATGGTAACAGACGCACCTGAAATAATATCCACGGGGAATAAGAAAATTACCTGCGTGATAATTAATCAAGGATAAACGTTCCTTTTTCTCCATCTACCTCATTTCTCTACCATTTTCTTTTTACGTACACAAACGTTACCTTTCACTGGATTATCAACTTTAGATTTTCTTCTAAATGGATTAAAGATCATGAGTCATGACAGAATATCAAAAAAAAGCAAAAGAATAAGAAAAAAGATGATAAACACACTATCGAAGCTTTGTTTGCTCTTTATGGAGTGTAACAGGACCCCGTGCTGCACACACACGTAACAGTGCTTACCAAAAGGGGCATCAAGTTACTTTGGAAAGACGTGGTGTAACACAACTTTATATGCGTGAGCAAAATGCTTGACTATAGGAAATGAAGATTAAAGTGAAAAGCGATAGTAGACAAATTTAAATTCTACCCAAATAACCGAGGGTAAAACCATGTGTAAATCTAAAGACATAAATAGTTTTTACTCATTATGACAGCATCAACGGGCATGAGTCTAAATCAGGTAATTTTAACAATACCATCAGAACGGAGCTATCCGGGTTGTTACCTAAAATTTGTCTTATAGTTTGTGCAACCTGCCAAGGCGCTGGCTGCAGGTTATAAAACTTTTTTCTTTTCTTTTTTTTTTTCTTTCCTTTATTATGACATCTGCAAACTATATTGCTTGGGGTACTTCATTTAGCCACAAGTTGAAATCTGTGTATTAATAAGTGTGGCGCCGACTTGAATTATAAATCACCATTTAAGGATTGTCAGGAAAAAGGGAGATTATAAAATACGTTACAGATATAACAAGCGCTTTTTCAGTCATTGTTATTTTTTTTTCTTTCTTTTTCTTCCCTTTTTTCATAACTTTACGATATATTATTGTATTATAAGCAGAGACTTGCTTGTCAATTGCTTCTAAAGTTACCTATTATGCTCAATGGAAGAAAGGTGTCCTAATCAACATAAAGACCAAAGACAAACATACGAATCACCTGTGACATCTTCTTCTGAATCCTCGCCTATGAATACCATGATTCATCCATTCAATTTACCAGCTGGCCATTGGCGGCATCCTTATTCGTCTAAACCATTTCCATTATATGACCAACATGATCTATACACCAAAGCTTATACCAGTTACCCACAGTCTTATCACTATGGAGAGTCGTTCTATTCAGGATATCATACAGCCAACCACTCTCCCTGGGCTGAGACGGCCGAACCTTCATCGTCAACATCATATTTCGACAGAAACGCTTCTAGCTACTCGTCTGCAGAAATCTACCCCTCAACTCAGGCGCAGCGCGTCTCTTCTATTTATCCTGATATAGTGTCTGGGGTGAACAATGAAAATCGATCACAGCCCACTCATCAGGTCACAAGTAAACAACAAGGGCCAAGCGATACAAAGGGTAACAGCGTTCAGGGACACAAAATACCAGAAGTGGAGCAGCTACAGGAAGAGATTTCGTTTTTAAGTGATGAGATTACAATTGTACTGATCGTGCTTGACTCTTTACGAAACGCATTCTTAGCCGATAACGCGTTCACAGCAACTCCTTCATCGCTCGCCCGAGACAATCGACCGATGCTCAAGACCCTTAACTTTACCAAAAACGATAGAGCTAGCTTAAAGCAAACCACTTATATCACGGACAACGATAACAACATAAAAGGAAATGCGCTAGACATAGTCGATAATCCCGAAGTCGAAAAGGAGATCAGGATCGCCTATGATGACCTTGTGATGCAAGTAAAGCAATTGGAAAGAAAGATCGATACATTGGAAAAGAAGAGTAGGGTGATGATGACCGAAAACAGGAAAAGAAGACTCGGTACATCACATGCGGACACATATGTAAGTCAAAGGCAACATCCATCATCAAGTAAAGCAAAAAAAAAGCAAAAAAGATCATAGATACTTCATCACCAACTCCATGGAAATATACATCAAGCCCATATGCTCACTTTATGCACACCTCCTTAGTTTCTATAGTTTCTATATGTTTATGTAATATCTGTATATGATTAATAATTGTATATGAAAATAAAAAGTCTGATTTCCTCATTTGGTAATTCTATCTTCGGTCCTTTTCGCGCAATAATATAGTAGAATTACTAGAGTTATATGAAATGAAGGGGGAATTGAGGAACAGTAAGGGGAATGTGAGGAGAGAGAGGGCATAAAGGAACATGTCTGTTGAATGCAAAATGACGAGCACCTTCTATTTTCGGAACACTGTCCGGGGGGGGGTGTAACTGACCATGTTTTCGTGCTCCTTAAATCTCCTCCCCCAACACTGTCAATTCATGCTCCTTATGAGAGTATGGATGAAATAACCATGAAACTCGATTTCAAGTAGATTCAGCTATGGTACTTGTAAAAGAAGGCAAAGAGATTACTATGGTGAATAAAATACGTATCACTCCCAGATATAAAATATTAAGGTTCATTTTTACACACACACACGAGGAAAGGAGTCCTTGTTTATTGATTAGATTTTTTTTTTTATTACCTCAAAAGAAGGCGCACCATCGTCACATGATATGTAACTTTATGCAGGTATGCTTACTGCTTATCAACCTTATTTACATATGCACTAGTGGCCGCATGTAGAATGTAATCTCCTTAAAATTGCACATTTTACTTTTGGACCAGTCTGTTGATTGGCTTTGGTATGCTTGCTGTCCTCATTTATTGCATTTTTGTTACAACTGGGGCTGCTTCAAACAATTTTAAACCTGGGCAGATGTCTACAGAAAAGATATTACCTGTGCAAGATCATACTTGGAAGTATCAATCGTATACAGCTATTGTCGTTAGATGGCAGTCAGACTATAAATTGGCAGAGCAGTAAAGATGAACTGTACCCAACTCAACCACGTCAACAATGTTAAACTTTTTCAATTTATCCGAACGAATCTATAGCTTTGATACATGAGAAAGAGGGAGATAGGGCAAGTACTGTGGATGCTGCAAGAGTGTGTTACTAAGATTATGCAACTTTAATAAAAGAGGTTAGTCCACATTTGTTTAATCTACAGTTTCCTCATTTCATCTTTTTCTTACCAATTAAGGATTAGTGATCTATGCATGTATTTTAAATGAAAATTGTAGTACAAAGCAGTGGGCGTTTGATGTCGTCGTTGCTTTGGCAGGGTAACAGTGGGGTCCTCTTGGACGCGTAGTGCGTTACTACTACTGAGTTTCAATTTCATTTTCTGCTGATTTCCATTTTTAATCATCGTATTACCAAGACGCACAGTGGCTGGTAGAGTCTATAATGGGAAATTAAAGCCCATAATCAGGTAAGAACTAGAGCTTCTCCTTTTGGGTAACCATAGTAACTTGAAACACTCATAAAAAAGTATGCAACTCAAGATGAAATCAAAAGGATTCTCTCTCTTTTTTATTCTGTACTACTTGCTTCTTTTGTTAAAGCTCAAGGGTGGATTGGCCTAAAAAATAACTTGCATTATGTCATAATTTACTTTCGCATAAAACTATACAATTTCTGGCTTTTTCTTTTTCTTATAAAATATGCTCGAATCCGTTGTCTCAACACTCTTGAACAGAGTATTGGGTGCTTACGTTTCTAACCTAAACTATAACCAATTAAAGATTGGTATATGGTCAGGTATAATAGGGAAGCGTTTAAAACAAAGATCTGTTGTCTGAACGATCCTTATAGGAGAGGTTAAACTACGCGATCTCAAGCTCAGACGTGATGCACTAGACAAATTGAATTTGCCAATCGACGTTTTAGAAGGTAGACATTAGCCATAGTGTGTAGTAGTTTATTCACTTTTACGACAAAGGTTACCTTGGTGAGCTCACGTTAACAATTCCTTGGAATAATCTAAGAGGAAAGGCAGTGCTTATTGACATCAAGGATGTATATGTCTTGGCAGTGCCTCGAAATGAGTCAAGCGTAATGAGAGTTTACAAACAACAAACATAAGAAAACTGATTGCTTTTATATAGATGACAACAGAAGAACTTGCGGAAAGAGAACATGAAGCAAAAATGAGAAAACTAGAAAATGCAGAACTCATGATGCAACATATTGAGGACGACGCTATTGAGAGTGCCAAGAATGATACGTTTGCAAATCAACTTATTACCAGAATTTTAAACAATCTTCAGTTTTCTATCAAGAATATCCATATTCGTTATGAGGACAATGTGTCAACTCAGCATCGATTTGCAGCCGGGATCACGCTGAATGAACTGTCGGCTATTACCACCGATGAGAACTGGACACCCAATACGATAGGTGAAGCTGTGAATACGATATTCAAGGTAATTGATATGCTTAAATTAATTCGTCATCTGATATGGTCATGTATAGCTTGCAACACTAGAATCGCTCTCTATCTATTGGGATACAAATATCGATTCTATAGCAGATGATACTGAGCATGAATCCTTTAAGGCACTCGTAAGTACCTTTTTTTTCTTTTCTTTTTTTTTTTGAAATACTGATCTATCGCTTTGATAGATTGCAACAAAGGAAAATGTACCAAAAGAACATCAATACGTGCTCAAGCCCGTTTCGGGAACAGGAAGAGTCAAATTCAACAAACAGTTTGGCAGCGGTGTTCCCAAGTTTGAAGCGTCTCTACTTTTCGATGAACTATCCTTTACGGTTGATAACGAGCAGTATCGTGACACCATTCTCATGATCGATTTGTTTCATTCTTACCTAAAAAAGCAAAAGGTAACCTATTTTTTATTTGGGTTATGGCTAGTTTACTGATCAATTTACGAGAGCAGTACAAGGATCTTCGTCCACCTTCTGATATGACACCCAAGACGCATCCATTGGAATATTTTAGATTTGCAGGCAATGCTGTTCTTTCAGAGATACACGAAAGAAACGAACGGTGGACTTGGAAACGACTTAAAAAAAGACGTGATGATCGTATAGCGTATATCAATTGCTATGTGAATCATAAGCTTGATAGAGCCACGCCTGATGAGTTGGAACAATTAGAGAATCTTGAACGTGAATTGAGCTTTGAAGATCTTCGATTTTACAGAAGTTTAGCGAAACCTAAGCTTAGAAGAGAAAAAGCACGACTTGGTAAAAGAGGACGAGACGAAGCAAGGATGAGGTTCTAAAATTTTTATTGGATGATAGCTGCTATTGAAAAGAAACGTAAAAAAGAAGAAGCGGAAAGAAAGGCGAGTCAAGGCTGGAGTATTAGTAGCTGGTGGTCTGGAAGTAGTAGTGCTACTGGAAAAGGACAACCTAGTGTAAGCTGTGCATAAAATAAGCTCAGAACAAGAGGGGCTAATATGCATTATAATACAGGGAGAGGCTGATGATGACTTGGTCATAACAGAAGAGCAAAAGCAAGAGTTTTATGACGTTATCGATTATGATGCAGATAAAGCAGCGATTGCAGCTTCAGTAGACTTACCAAAAGATGTAAGTTGTCCTTTAAGACTGATAATCATTGGCTAAATAAAATGATAGACAATGCTGCTCTCACTAAACATCGTGCTCAACCAAGGCTCATTTAACGTTCGCAAGAATCCACATGAACAACCTATTGATCTACTCTCACTTGTTTTTGATAACTTTGTGTTAGGGTTTACAAAATACGTCGAATCATTTACTGCGACAGCTGCCTTGGGCGATATGAACCTATATGACAAGCAGCGACCAGAATCGCCTTATTATAAGCTAATGGGGGCTAAAGATAAGGATACTAGCCATAGGAAATCAGTTACTTTAGATAATCAGCTAAAAAATATAACCGGTGTCGTCAGAGATCCCTTTTTCACAGCGACCTTTGAATATAAGCCTTTGGACAACCGAGCAGATAATGCAGCGGCGCTTTATATGCGCAATATTGATATTGTTTATAATCCTGAAATAATTCGCGAGTTGATCGTATTCTTTACGCCACCAGAGACTAGTGCAGACAGTATTAATGCCTTGATCGAAGTAGCAGGTGATACATTTGAGGGCATCAAGAAACAGACAAGGGCTAGTTTGGAGTATGCACTAGAACAACATACTACGTTTGATCTAAAGGTTGACATGGATGCCCCGGTTATTATTATTCCAGAAAAGTACGTATTATCTATTTGAAGAGCGTAGCAGTGCACTCACATACAATTTGATATATAGCTGCACATCAACTTCATGTCGTGCTATCGTCATTGACGCGGGTCATATTAATGTTGAAAGCAACTTGTCTTCACCCGAAACGCGCACTCAAATGAAATCAAAATCAGGTCCCGAGATGTCAGCTGAAGACAACCTTCGATTCCGTAGTCTGATGTACGATCGATTTACGATTCAGTTAACAGAGACAAAAGTTCTCGTTGGTGATTCGCTTGATACCTGCCTTGTGCAAATACGTAATCCCCGTCCAGAATTGAGCTATCTTCATCTGATTGATCATATTGACATGACGTTCTTGCTCGAGCTCTGTATCATTCGTAAATCTGTTGACATGCCTCGATTTAAAGTATCTGGGCATTTACCTTTGCTCAAAGTCAACTTTTCTGATACAAAGTACAAGGCTCTTATGCAGTTACCTCAACTTATTGAAGCATCTGGTATACTAGGAGACAGAGCAAACAGTCCTATTGACGAGACATCAGTGAATAATCAAGTAGATCAGTACTTGTTTAGATTGATGAATATTCCTTTATGGAGTAACCCAGATGATGATATGCTACTAGAAAGCGATAGCGAGTCGAGTGATATCTATACAGACTCTGTAGCGGATACGGTGGATACCCAGACTACGAACGCGACATCTACTCACAGTGTAAAACCAAAGCAAGACGCAGTTAATATCGAAGAACGACTGTTTGAGTTAGACTTTAAAGTGGACCAGGTGCTTGCAAATATACTTGAAACTCAAAAGGTTGAAAAGACGCAAGAAACTCTGCTATGTGAAGTAGATTTGAAAAGCTTAAAATTAAATTATAGCATGCGACCTATGGACATGTCAGTTCATGTTTCACTCAAGTCGTTGGACGTTACTGATAAGATGAAGCATGGAAATGAATTCAAATACCTTGTTACCTCTGACCAAAGCATTCTTCAGTCAGGCCTTCCTGGTGAATCGGAACTAAAGGAGCTCGTGAATATTGAATACGTACAGTGTAGTAAGCAGAGTCCTGAGTATTTGACAAAGCACAAAGGAATTGACCAAACGATTCACGCCACTCTATCTACACTCAACTTTATTGTAACGCGTAGTTCTGTACTTACACTTCATAACTTTATCATGCATACTTTTGTGGACAATGAAGACATGAAGAATAGTAATCAACAGGTTACCAAATCACCCAACATAAGACGTACGTCATCTACGCCCTATCCAGCGATACCAAGCTTAAGCCAGTCAAATAAGGACAACAACAATGTGTATGTCAGATTACTTCTTGACAGTGTCAACTTTGTGTTGAACAATGATGGTCAACGTCTTGCTACTGGAGAATTGTCTTTGGGTGACCTCACAACCATCATTTCGGACGGCCAAGTTAACGTTGCTGCTAAATTTGCTAACTTCACTCTAACGGATGATGTGAGTCCTGCAAAAGCGCTTGGATCAAGGAATATGGCAAACCAGCTGTTGACTATTCAAGGCGAAGAATTGATTGACTTAAAGTACACGTCCTTTGTTAATGATGGCAGAAAAGATTATCCTGGTTACGATCATGCAGTGTATCTTCGCATGGGTTCTGCACAATTCAACTTTTTAGAAGCACCTGTTTATCAATTGATGCAGTTCTTGAGTAAATTTGCCGAAATGAAATCGACCTATGACATAGCTCGTCAAGCTGCCTTGGAATCAGCACAGCAGCTTAGCGAGGCAGCTACAAAAACCCACTTTGACATCGTGATAAAGACACCCGTCGTTCTGTTTCCCGAGTTCCACCAAGGCTCATCAGATCTCGTTGTCGCTCATTTAGGCGAAATTTGGGCCTCCAACACGTTTGTCAATGAGAATGGCCGCTCCATCAACTCTATAAAAGCGGGCCTCAGAGCAATCAGTCTTACATCCAAATTTTATTTCAGACGTTCTAATAATCAAATGCAACTGCAAACGTTACCCATTGTAGATGATATTGACGTTAATTTTGTCATACAAGTCTCACAGCAAGGGCAGCTTGACAGTTCAAGTGTGGACATTCAAGGCAGCATTAGCGATATTTCTATGAAAGTAACTGAGCGACAGTACATCTTCCTTATGGAAGCGATAAACATGCTTTCACGTATCTTTTCATCCCCAGAAGGGGGCAACAAACAGTCAACAAGCAGCTTAGCTAACACAGCCATGTCAGGAAACCTTAGCCAAAGATATGCTGAAGCTGTCAGCGAAAGCAGCGGTAACTATGCTTCTCCTGAAATCACAATGACAATTCATGCAAACATGATTAAATTGGAAGTCTATATGGGCGAAGGTGCTGATATACAATCACCCACCAGTTTAGCTTGTTTTGCTCTACACAACAGTAATGTGGATTTGCATATGGATAGTGACAGTAGCATAGATATCCTCGTCGTTGTACCCTCGCTTACTGTAGACGATACAAGACCCGGCATCAAAAGCGAATATAAAAATATTGTCCCAGTTATTGAAAATGGCAATCAATTTGAATTACAGTTGGACCTGAAGCCACCCACTCCTTCTCGCACAGGAGTCATGATGATGACTATCAGAGATTCTAAGGTTATTTTATCGCTTGATCACGTCTTTTCGTTATTGAACTTTTTCATGCTGCCTTTCAACGATAAAAATCAGTCATGGTCTGAACGGGAACGACCAGAAGACGGCGTACAGTCATCTAACATCGACCTATCTTATATCGTAAAAGTTTTGAACGCTGAATTTGTTTTGCTTGCTAATCCCGAGAAACTGGATTCAGAGGCAATCGTTCTGTCAACTGAAGAATTAATGGTCACTCAGCAAGCAAAGACGGCTCTTGTTGTAAAGCAAATGGGTATGTTCCTCTGTAGAATGGACATGCGTCAAAAGTCTACTCTGAGATTTATTCAACCGTTTGATGTGAATTTGTCAATGAACAGTAACCCAAGGAATGAAAAGGGGGGTTTACTGACAGATATTGTCATGAACATTGACCCTTTGATTATGCGAGTTTCTTATTGCGACGTCATGCTAATTACTGATATTGTCAATAATGCATTTGATCTTTACACTGCCAGCATGGGAGGTGATAAGCAAATGACAAAAACGGAATATGCACAGGGCCTGCTGTCGCCATCACTTGTGACCTCACAAAAGGATGCGGATAGTGTTAATGCAATTGCTCTTGCCCAAGAATCTGTAAGTGGTTTTATAAATAGTGTGTGATGTAACGCTCATAGAATATATGTATATATAGCTTCGTATCTCTTTTCAAGGCGCTCAAGTCATTTTAATTGAAGAATTACATGAGACACCTATGGTTATTATGTCCTTGAAGCCTTTCAATCTAGAAGTGTCCAACTGGTCAAAAGAGGTAATGTATTGATAATCAAACACCCCTGATGGATTGTCATTAACTTGTTTTTTTGGTTCAGCTTGCTGCTTCTGTCCAACTCTATGCACACATCAACTATTTCAACATCAAAAACTCCCACTGGGAACCATTAGTTGAACCATGGAACTTTAAGTTGGAGCTGTCTCGAAACCCAACTGTCGGAAATGATGTTACCCATGTGAAGATCATATCTAACAATACCCTTAATCTTAATATCACTCACACCTTCTTGGAAAGTGCAGTATCTATTGTCCAGATGTTAGATAAGCAGAGAGATACTGTCTATAGCGGCGAAAGAGGCACTGTTGCGCCATACGAGATACGTAACAGAACTGGTTACGATATCACTATCTGGAATTCTACAAATTCAAACGAGGGTCCTACACTTAAAGAACTGAAGGACGGTGAAAGCATACCATGGTGGTTTGAGGATTGGAGAAAGCGTCGTGAGGTAAGTGAAAACGCAGTAGCCGAGTTTTTTTTCTCCTTTATACTTAGAGCATATAAATAGACAACTGAGGTTACCAGTAATAGTTTGAATGTCCAAATTGATGGAGCTCAATGGAGGAGCCTTCGTGATATCCAGCTCGATACAGAGGGAGAACATATGCATGCACTCGAGCCAAGGCTTGATAATGTTCAGCATCATATTGTTTTTGATGTTAAACTCGCTAATAACATCAAGGTTGTGACCATTAGGTCCTCATTTGTAGTTGAAAATCGAACCCTGCTTCCTGTTGATCTCGTCAGTATCAATCCTGACGGAAAGACGAGTTCACATATTGTCAAGATTACTCCTAGTGAAGACTATGCTATCCCGATTGAGCAAGCTTACTCTCACAGATTCTGTATTAGACCAGACGAAGGCTTTGGCTACCATTGGGCACAGCGCGCTTTCCACTGGAGAGACTTTGCTACACCTATCAAGCCTCCAAATGCACTTTCTTGTCTTTCAGGAAATAGGGAAATGCCACCATTTATCTTTCATGTGGATGCTCGTTTGGATAAAAAGAACATTTTGTATGGTCAATACCCTGCCATGGCCATCAAGTTAAGCGCTCCTATTGAGATTGAAAATCTGTTGCCTTATGACTTCAATTTCCGTATTATTGACAAGACGTCTGGTCAAGACTTTAGCTCTTTTCTGCGCAAGGGTGGTGTGATGCCTATTCACGTCATAGAAAATGGCCATCTTGTGCTCTTAAGTATTGAAATTCCGGATACCGATTATCGTAAAAGTGATTATGCTATTATCAGCACAAAGAGAACGGATGATCTTGACGTGGATCGTTCCATTGAACTCGTTCACAAGAATGACAAGAACAACAAGCTACACATTCGTATCAACACCATGGATGTACCAGGATCAGGAGGCGCTAAAAGGTATAGCATATTTAGTCCTTACATCATCATGAACAAGACTTGGTTGCCCATTAGCTTCAAGGAGAAGCATACTTGGTCTGATGCATTTATGTCTAACAGTGATAATGTTGTGACATGCAAGCCGGGCCCTAAACCAGAGCCTTTTATGTTTTCATATCCCAACATGGACAACCGTAACAGAACGCTGATCAAAGTGGATAAATCAGATTGGAGTCAGCCATTAAGCTTTGAAGCGGTTGGAAGCGTGTATGATGTTGTGCTCCCAAATACAAATCGTTCTGAAGAGATTCACGTTGGTATTCATGTGCAGGAAGGACAAGGAAGATTTAAGCTGACCAAGACGATTACGATAACTCCACGCTTTGTGTTGAGTAACCAAATGAATCAAAACATCCGATACCGTGTGCCCGAGACTAAGGATGAATATACATTGGAAGCCGGGCAACGAATACCATTGTATAACATTCGCGTCCAGAATGAAAAGCAGTTAAGCATAAAGTTGGAAGGATTCAGCAATGCATGGTCAGCGCCTTTTAATATCCAAGACATAGGCGACGTTCACGTACGACTATCAAACGATTATGGTGAGCCAGATGTGCTCATTAGGGTATCAGTTTTGCTTCAAGATGCAACCATCTTTATTGTTTTAACCAAAGAGGAAAACTGGCCATATTTGCTTGTCAACAAGACAGATGAAGACATGATCTTTTACCAAGAAGACCCTGTCCTTTTAAGAGACGACTCTACTCCAGTACGTAATCTTAGAATCAAACGATACAGATTACCTGCTAAGCAAGCGGTTCCTTATTCATGGGACCTGCCTGCTTATAAAGACAAAAAGATGATTCTCTCAATCAATGGTCGCGAAAGAAGCATTAATCCACAAGAAATTGGCACATTGCCACCATTCCGTCATGCAACACGTAGTGGCAACCCATCCATCACTTCTATAGATATTAAGATTCAAGCTGGCCGTCGGGTTGTAGAGTTGACGCCTTATAGACAGAGTGAAAGCCAATTTAAGCCAGTGTCAGGCTCCCTATCACGCTCATCATCCATGTCATCGGTAGATAGTGCTGCTCGTGAAGGATTTGAAGTTGTGGATGTTGATATGAAAGTGAACGCAGTGTTCCAGCTTCAACTTAAGGAAGTTGGTATATCCTTGATTGATAGACAATTGCAGGAGCTTGCCTATATTACTTTTAGAGGCATTGACTTGAAACTCTCTGATTCCACCCTGTACCATTCACTTCGCTGGAACGTTGACTGGGTTCAAATAGACAATCAGATGCATGGCTCCGTCTTTCCCATACTGCTCTACCCCACCAACTCGACAAACAGTGGAGACCGAACCAAGAACAATAATAAGATACTTCCAACTGTTCAGCTGGCCCTAGACAGAGTCAAAGACAGCTCACATGGTGTCATGTACTTTAAGTACTTTTCTATCCTTCTACAAGAAATGAGCGTGGAATTAGACGAAACATTTGTTTATGCCATGTTAGACTTTACTAATGTCAGTCATCCGACTAATGAAGAGCCCAGAGACAATGATGATGTTGACACCTGGAATTATTCTGCGGATATTCCGGATGTTAGACCGGGTAATGATACAGCACAGATCTATTTTGAAGTATTCAGTATTCAGCCTATTCGGTTTAATCTTTCATTTTTACGAGTTTATCAAGACGATGCGAATCTCCCACAATCCCATGCTGCTATTGCTTATCTCGTGAATGCATTGACAATGACTATCGGAAACATCAACAGTGCGCCTCTAAGGTTCAATGCTTTGGCTATCGAAAATATGATGGCTAGTCCAGCCGATTTAGCCAACAAGATGTTTATACACTATAGCGATCAATTCATTTACCAGTTCCATCGTATCTTGGGTTCTGCTGATTTCCTGGGCAATCCAGTGGGTCTCTTCAATACTGTAAGCTCAGGTGTAGCTGAATTATTTTATGAGCCTTGGCAAGGCCTAATCATGAGCGATAGACCTCAGGATTTAGGGTATGGTATTGCCAAGGGGTTCAGTGGGTTTATTCGAAAAAGTGTCTTTGGTGTCTCTGACAGCTTCACAAAGTTTACTGGCAGCATTGGTAAGGGCCTAAGCGCCGCTACGATGGATAGAGAGTATCAGGATCGTCGAAGGATGAACATGTCTCGAAACCGACCTAAACACGCTTTGGTGGGTGTTACTCAGGGAGCCACATCCTTTGCCAGCAGTATTGCCAGTGGTTTTTCTGGTCTTGTGGTAAATATAAGTATAATATTTAAAAAGGTGGATAACTAACTATATATTCTTTTGTTTAGACACGACCTGTTGAAGGTGCGTCAAAGGAAGGTGTCGGAGGTTTCATCAAGGGCTTCGGAAAAGGTCTAGTTGGTGCAGTGACAAAACCAGCTGTTGGCGTTTTTGACTTTACAAGCAACATATCGGAAGGAATACGAAATACAGCAACCCCTAATGATACAAACATGATCGAACGTGCACGATATCCTCGTTATATTGGGCCTGATGGTATTCTTAAACCTTATTCATTACGTGAATCCATTGGTCAGCATTGGCTCAAGGATGTTGATGGAGGCAAATATATGCAGGATACTTACTTGGCTCATTGTCATGTACAAAACGATGAGCGAGTAGCCATGCTGACAAATAACCGTGTCATGCTTATTCGAACAAGAAGACTAGCAGTCGAATGGCAAGAACCGTTCTCTGATATTCAAACGTTCAAACGTGAACCTACGGGTATCATCATCTATCTTCGCGACCAAAGCCCTGAACGTTTCTTGATCATCTCAGACAAGCACAGTCGTGAAGATTTCTTTAAAAAGATCGAAGGTGCTGTGCACAAATATAATTTGACACGACGCTCTGCTGAATAGAGAGAACGAGACGTGATTTTGAAAATTGTAGTAGTAATAAACAAACCCTTTTCTTTTTCTTTGAAATAAATGGCAACAAAATGTCCTGCAGTAATCCATCAGTTCTTTCAACATTTCTCGACACTGCAGTTACGTAACTACAGTAGTCATAGTGTTGCCAGTTTACGTCGAGCTATATCTAAAGGAAACCTTAAGCAAGCGAGATCTGCTTATGAATCTCTTGATGCCAATGTTGATCACCATTTACTACGTAAACTTGTATTATTAGCGCGCAATGGCAAAACAAGGCAAGATCTCGACTTTTTACAGACGATCATTCAAGATATGCCTGTACGTTTCAATGTTACTCCTGTCCAATTCGAATATAATGCATTGATTCAAGCATATGGAATACATCATTCACCTGACAAAGCTCATCAACTACTTAATCAAATGAAAAGTATGGGAATAAGCCCAAACGTATATTCATATAATACCTTGCTTAAATGTTACAAGAAAAACAATGATTTTACCCAAGCAGAGCTATTATTAAAGGAAATGGAAAACAACCAACTGCAGCCGGATACAGTGACTTATAACACCTTGCTTCAGCTTTGGCTCCAATGCAGACGCCATGATAAGATATTTGAATTTTACAAAGCAAATAACAAGAATCAACATATTCGACCCGATGTATATACTCTTTCTATTGTATTAGAAGCCGCGATACAATCTAGACATACTGTCATTGGCGATCAAGTGTTTCAACAGCTTTTTGAAAGGGAGGATCTTGATACAGCAGCAATGAATGTCATGTTACGGTATAAAGCAGGCAGTCTGGACGATATGCTCACATTATACAATGATTTACAAAACCGATGTCGAGCAGATCGTATAACATTCAATATTCTACTAGATGCTAGTCTTAAACAAGGTAATCCGTCAGAGACAATGGCGATATTGTCCCAGATGAAAAGGGCAAAGATTGACCCTGACATTGTCACTTATGGAACATGGATGAACCATTATTTTCGAACGGGTGATTTAAAAAGTGCGCTTGATTTATTCGATGAAATGCAAAGGGCAGAGATTAAACCGACACCGCGTGTATTAAACAGTCTTGTGAATACTGCTTCTTCCAAAATGGCCTCATTGGACCATCTGGATCAGTTAATTAATTTGATTAGGCCATTTGAGGATAAACTAGATGTAAAGGCATATAACTCACTTATGGGCGGATTAGCTCGGCATGGAAGATCAGCACAGGTTCAAGGGATATACGATAAAGTGTTTAGAGACAACAATTTACAGCCGGATATTGCCACATTCACGCATCTGATACTTGCTTATATTAATGATGACTTATTAGAGGATGCTATGGAAATATATTACGCCTTACGAGAACACCATAAGAAATGCAGAGATAATCCAAAACGAAAAACTAAAGTCTTTGTTCAACTGGATGCTACATTTTATTCAATATTAATATCTTCCTTGTCTTCGTTCAAGGAAAACGAGAAAAGAGTGTCTCAAAGATTGGTAGCAGCTTTGAAATTGTTTAATGATATGCGACCACTACAAATCCAACCATCTACTCATATCTACACGGCAATGCTTCATGCATGTGGACAGAACAGAGATGAGTATGTGCTAGAGCATGTCTACCAACTTATCAAGGTTGATCTCTACTTGGACCCTGATATTGGGATGTACAATGCACTCATGGACGCCTATAATCGCATTGGTGATGGCAGGACCGTATTGGACATCTGGCAACAACTCGTGTCTTCTGCACC